ACATACATGGAGAATATGTGGTTGGGCTGCAAAAGGTTTATACTGAAGGAAAAGGATGAAGAGATTTCAAAAGCTAAGAAGATTTACAAAAGGTTTGAAAAATATATTTAATGAAAATTAATTAATTTAATAGAAATTTTTAAATTTTAAAGGGTTTTCCTTCGATACCATTTACTGAATACCCTATGGCTGATCACTTTCTCGTTAATACTGTATGCCATTTGTTATCTGGTTTGTTATATAATTGGATTGGATTTCTATTTGCCTACCATTTTAACGTTTTATAATCCCACATCAATCATGGATTTTGTGAGGATTGCAATGCTATTTATATCAGTGTTATTTGGCTATAAATTATTAGACTTGTTTATTTTGTAGTAATATTAGTAATTTATTAAAATGTTTGTTAATTAATTAATTTTGATTTTAATGTAATTTTTAATTATAACATTAATAAATTATTGCGATTCTTATAAATTTATTTACAAATTACATTTAAATACAATTTTAAATTTTAATAAAATTAATAAAGTTCAGTTTGAATTAAATTAAAAGTAAATTTGATTTTAAAATTTAGATAACTATATACAAATTTAATTATCAACTGTAAGTGGCTTAGAAATCTGACTACATTATAAGTAAATTAATTTTAATACTGTATTTTGAAATACAAATTTGTTATAATATTCTAATTTAAATTTAAAATTTTGAGAAATAAATTTAACGTATTTAATGATTTACATATTTGCGAAAATAATTTATGATTAAGAAATTGTTTTATGATGACAATATAATGAGAACTTTAAATTATTTTATCATTTTTCCGGTAGATTTTTGTCTTAAACTGCATTCTTAGTGCATTGTAATTGTGAAATTTTTAATTTTCAAAGCTTTAAGTAATGTATAAAATCTTGAAAACAATTATGAAATACTTGTGTTAAACTAGCTATTAGAGTCCTGTCATATTTTGATTTGGTTTAATATAATATACAAATCAAATAAATAATTATTTCACATACATGTACAAAGGATGTTGAAAATAATAATTATTTTGTCATTTGTATTATTATGCAATTCTGATGATAATGTAAACAATAAGACATTATTTGAGACGAATATAAAGTTTTTAATTAATATTATTAGTGATAAATTGGAGCCAATTTTAGCAAAACTTGAAAACGATGACAGGATTTCAGACGATTGTCTCAAATCAATACACTATACCATAGATGAAGGGCTTAAAATGAAGTGGTGGGCAATTAAACGTAATTATAATACTTAATATCTTACATGATCTTACCTGTTCAATTTTTATTAATTTTAATGATAAGTGTTTGACTCTTGGGGTCATTTCCCGAGTGGCTTCATGGAGGGGACGTATGGATCGTTAGGTGATTTTGATGAATGTCTAGATGTGGTCCCCGACACCGGTAGTCATATTAATTTTGTTGGACAATATTGTACCCCAAGATTTGAACTGCCATTTGACACCAATCACAGGCAATCAAATGATACGGTTTATAGAGAGACTATGAATACATTTTCTAATTTAAAATCGCCAGTCATTAGTAATGCCTTTTGTATACCTTCTGTGTGTAGTCCAAATGACTTGAAATCAATTTTGGATGAGGGTAATTTGAATATTGAAACAAATACGTTGTTATAAATTCATACTATTTCTTATACTAGGGCTTAAGTCACTCAACGTTAAGGTACATATAAATAGCAATGATTGCTACCATAGACTGGAAGATGTGCCACGATTGTCAACCTCACAGATAATACTTTTGTAATTTTGTAGTTTATTTGAATTAATTTTAAAAGTTTAAAAATATCATTAAGAAAATAT